AGAACTGTTCGAACTGTCCTGAGCGGTGGTGCGTCCTCCTGAGCGCGTTCTCAACAGCAGGTGCATGACGCGTCTTCTTTTTCTTATTGCTTTACGGCGGATCGCAGACTTATAAGTGCATTACCGCCACCTATCTCTCAAATGGACCATTGACACTCCTAATTGAGATTGTAGATAGAGTGTCAATGGTCCATTTGAGAGATAGGTGGCGGTAATGCACTTATAAGCCTGCGATCCACCGTAAAGCAAGAAGAAGAAGAAGACGCGTCTGAGAACGCGCTCAGGACAGTTCGGACATTGCGGTGAATCAGAGGTAAAAAAAACGATATAAATACTGTTCAGTTTCTTGCACAGACCGATTGTTTCGTGTCTTTACACATCAATGTATCGTCACGAGCCGCAGGGTTTAATTTGGTTTTATGTATGTTTTTTTTTTTTACTCTCAAAGCCGTGATACCCATTCACCTCCATTATATGACTGACAGACTGCAACGGTTTGAGTTAAAAATCTTTGTTTGTGTTCTACTGAAGAAACAAAGTCACCCACATCTTGGATGCCCTGGGGGTAAGCAGATAAACATCAAATTTTCTTTTTTGGTTGAACTATCCCTTTAAGCCATATGTAAAAAAAAAAATAAAAAAAAATTATGAATGTCAATTACCAAGATCCAAGGTACAAGCAGTAAACAAATAAAACACTAAAAAAAAATAAAAGGAAGATTATAACATTTGAAATGATATATCCCTTTAAGTATCTAATTTCCTGTTCGGGCAACAGCATGAATCTATACAATTGCTGTATGTATATTGCAGTATATTATATCTTCCTCCCTCTCATTCCACTGTCTCTGTCTTCTTTTAAAAGGATGACAATAATCCTTTAAGAGTTGAAGGAACGATACGCACAAGTTTCTCTTCACTGGTTTGTCACTCTTTTCATGCATCATTTCAAAAAACACTATGTATACCAGTCACATTTTGTAATTGTTCGATATGATAGACAGAACATATCACAATTGAATTTTGTTTTCCTCTCTGGCACATACATAAAAACCCAAAACGTTTACTTTCACAGGATCGTCCTCGCTCCAGGGATAGTCGGTCCACGCTGGGAGGGGTGGACTCACTCGGTCGCCCTGCAATTTATAACACGTCCAGAAGAGGCCGAGACAAACTGATGGACAGAACTGAAAAAGAAGCTCAGCTGATGATGGAGTCTTATGAGCAGGACAGTAACGTGTCACAGGTGTGAGATAAGTTTCATGAGTCTGTTTGTGCAGTTGATCTATATTTCCACTTTCACAAATAGAGCTTAAATTTGCTGAAAAAGAACACAAATTGGTTTTCTTTTCTTTTGAAACAAATGGTCAGTGAATGAAGGTGCTTAACCTTCCTAAAGAAAATGGTGTTCATTCAGATCAGAAGAAAGTATCTTAAATTTAATGATCAAATGTATATTCTCTTCATTTTATATAAGGTTTGCATTTTTGTAGCCATGTTACTTGCTAAATAATGGTATTTAATAATTCTGTGCTAGCTAGTTTGGGACTAAATGTTGGTTTGTAGTTAGTGGGAAATTTGTATGTTCCGTACACTTCAGTTCAAAAGCTTGAGGTTAGTAATTTTTTTTTTTTTTTAAGAAATTAATACTTATATCTAGCAAGGACACATTTTATTTTATTCTTTTGGCATTTCTACTCATTAAAGAAGTGTCATGGTTTTCACAAAAATATTAAGCAGTGCAACTGTTGCAGTACAACTGCAATGTTTGAGCAGCAAATCAGTATATTAGAATGATTTCTGAAGGATCATGTGACACTGAAAAATAAAGTAATGTCTGCTGAAATTTCAGCTTTGCCATCACATGAATAAATTATATATATCATTTTGTTTTTAAATATGAGCAGCCATGGTGAGAATTTGGAGTTTCTTTCAACCCCAAAACCCTTATAGTCAACAAGGCAATAGTGGAAAAAAAAATGAAATGAGAAAATAACATTGATAATTGTAAAACTGTAGTAATATCCACCCACCATTTATTATTAAAAACTAAAATTAGCAGCTTTCATGATTTGTTAATTTTATGTTAGATATTAGTTTATCTAAAATGTGCCTTTATTTCTTTAAAATTAGTAGGAGAACATCAAAATGTATCCTCATTTTATGACACCTTTTCTACTGTTTTACCCCAAATTCCATGAAAATACTTTAATAAAAACACATTTTTTAAATTGTTTATGATCTTATACCTAAAGCTAGTACTTAAAGCTTTAGTAACTCTCAACGGGTTAGTAATGCTAACTGGATTCAAAAACGGTAAAACTCAACTGTTTAACTCTAGGGGAGTTGGAAAATGAGCCTATTTTCAAAAATAGTGGCGTGTTCCTTTAACATATGCTGTATCAAATAATTGTGCATGTAAAATGCTCATAATCACGTTTACACTTATGCGATACAGGAAACCCAACTTCTCCCTCCTCTCCACCCCTCTTCTTATTCAATGGAACAGGCTGTTGAAATTGTGCGGTCTCGGAACGGCAGCGCCATTCTCCCAGCAGAGGGGAGGCCGCAGTCAGGAGGAAGCAGCAGAGGGGGCAGCAGAGGGCATCATTCGCCCTTAGTATCCATGTACCCGACTCTTACGGATGAGGAAGAGGAAGATTCTGTGAGCCCTACGGATTCAGGAGTCCACAGAGGTTTAATAGAGACTGATGGATTTGAGAACGGCGGCAGCGAGACGGCGAGTTCTCAGATATCTGAGGCGCTATCCAGTCATTTTGAGCACACTAACGGCACGCTATGGCCCAAGTCAAAACCCAATAACATCCTGCTCCCAGCCAACACAACCCTTTTCCTTCCGCCGCATAGCCCAACTATCCACAAAGCTCAGATCGTTTAGAGTGTTTGTATGGAAACGTCCATATAAACACAGTTGATATTACAACCGAAGGATGTGTTCCTCTGTAATTTCACTCGACCCAAAAATGCTGTGTCTGGACAACCAACCCAAAAATTGATCTTTTGTATGAATTTTTATATGACTACATTCTCAAGGTGGCAAAAACATGGACCGAATGACTGTCAGGCCATAATCTAAACTCAAACCTGCAAAACAATACCAGCATTACTTAAACAGTCCCTCAAATAATTGTGTAATCCGGAACTGGGACGCTTGAGTATTATGGGTCACAACATGTGTTTCACGTGCAGATTAACTGGAATCCGCCAGAGTTGAGCAGCAATGGAATTAAGATCTTTTATTATTGTTATTGCAACCTAAGGCTTCACTTGAATTGCTGTTGAGGGAGAAAATACTACATGAACTGTTTTCTGGTCAGTTAATCCTTCACTGTGACTTTTTGGCCTTGATGTCTGTAATCCAGAGATGTAAAAATGGTGTTTCGATATATATATTTTTTAATATATGTGTGTATTATGTATTGTGACAGGAAACTACCCACTGCATGAATAGTATTATGAAGTATTGCATTACCTTGTTTTGAAAATGGCTCCTGCATGTTCACCGAATGTCATTGTAGGAGTGACACTGTCATTGTTTACAGCATATATACTTCATTATGTACTAGTGCTTTAAATGTATTTAGTTTTAATAAGTGGGCAGTGTTACCGCAAGCTCCTGAGATACTCTTGTGAACTTTCTATCTAACAAAATATAAAGCCATGGGTCCTGATGGTAACTTTGGCGTATTCAATTCACTGCAGTGTATGGGGGTTATTAAATCAACCCTAATTATACTGCATATGTATCTATGTTAGATGAATTTCAGAAAACACAATGTTAAATCAGGACATTATTGTTCGGTGCTTTTCAGCCTAAATTTGAGAAAAAAATGTACCATATCAACCATAGTTAACACCAAAATGCTACAATAAAACTGGGGTTACTGTGATATTAACCACCACTGTCAAAAAAAAAAAAAGAATGAATGAATGGAAAATTATAATTTATTATGTTTCACAATATTAACCATAAGTTCAATAACAACTTTATTAACGATGGTATTTTGGTGTAAGCTATTACCTTGGTACATTTTTGTACACTGTCCCCCACCGTGCTTGGCTGCTGGTGCAGGAAATGCATTTAAGAATCATTTTAGGAACGTTTGGTTTGACTTTTATTTTGAATTTCAACCTGCCTTTCAGTCACAGGATATTAAAATCCTGTTTACGCCACTGTCATTCTGCATAGAACTGCCTTGCAATTAAAGTAGCCTACTCAAATTTACTACAACTGTCTCGAAGCGGGTAAGAAAATGAAAGAAATGGTACCTTGGAAAGTATTTATTTTGCATTCAAATACCTTTTTGTTAGCAGGTTCCCTCACAAAAAGACAAAAAAATTATTTTATTAAATGTAAATAGTGTTTTAAATTAGTATCTTTTGCAAGTGGACTCTAGTCTAGTACTCTAGTCTGGTACATTTTAATAATACACTTTTAACTAGTCACAAAGCGCTCAGAACGGGACTTTTATTTCGTCAACAAGGCATATCGCCGTCCATTTAGATGACTGCTCACCGTGGCGAGCTTCACACATCGCTGCTTTTAATTCTAGGCACATTCGCTGAGAAATTTACCACCCATCATCTTTTCTCCTTCAGCGGGGTCGACGCTCTTCCCGATTTATTTGAACTTCCTTAATTGTACAGTTTTGTACAAAAGCTTCGTATGTCTTTTGAAAATATACAATTGTGCATTTGTTTTCCCTGATGATATGGATTAATGTGTCGATGCCTGCAGAAATTGCCTGGATATAATTGTTCCACCGGATCATGCAGAAAATCCCGGGGATAACGACACACTGCAAGGATTAGTGTAGTTTATAAAGATCACTGCATTTTTTGTATATAGATCATATTTTTTATACCGGAATCGCTTTGTTACTTTTAGCAGGTTGTTCTACGAAAAGGAACAGGGAAGAAAGGAAAGAAGAAGGAAGCCCTCGAGCAGAGGTACAGTGGACTGAATGAATGTAACCAGCTCATGTGTCATTCATGTCATCGGCGCATTTTTGCGTTCCATTTAGAATGTGTTTCCTGACGGCCCTTGCTTTAATTTAATTTAACATAATTTTATTTAATTTGATTAATTGTTTAACAACGCAATATATTATATTATTTTATATTATATTATATAGCGTTGTTAAATAGTTGTACAAAATTGTATAAATATTTACATTTTAAATGTGTGTGTGAATATATATATATATATATATACACACACATTATTAAATATATAAACATATCTACACATAAATTATACATTTAAATATTTTAAGAAATAATTTCATTTTTACAATGATAATTTTAAACATTCCATTTTAAAAATATAACATGATTTAAATATACAATCTTATGTATATATTTATATTTTGTGTGTTCATATATACACACATATATATATATGAATATATTATGTATATATTTCAAGAATTCATGGAATTTTAAACACAAAATATGAATATACACAATTTAATTTAACATATATTTTTAAAATGGAATATTGAAAAGAATTATTTAAATATATACGTAATATATTAATATATGTGTGTATATATGAACACATGAAATATAAATATATACATAAGATTGTATATTTAAATTATGTATTATATTTTTAAATGGAATATTTAAAATGATCATTGCATATATATATATATATATATATATATATATATATATATATAA